AATTTTTAGTTACTTTTAATTTAATCTTAATAATTTTTTAAAAAAATCAAAATTTTTTAAATGGGAAATTTGCTAGCTCAATTTTCGAGGTATCGAGCTGAAATTTTTAGAGAACTTTCTTTTGTGTTAAAGCAACGTTTCTCACACATTTACAAAAAAAGGTTTTGTTTCTGAAACAGCCTTTATATATATATACGTACGTATACATTTTTTTTCATATTTTTTAGATATACCGTTCAAAAGATAAAGGACAGAGGACAAGATTTTGCGCTGCTTATGGAGCGATTATTTCCAAAATATTCAATTAGTAAAAAAAATACTTGAAGACTTAAAGTTTTTTTAAGGAGCTGTTAAAATATGTGTTATATGTTTGTTGAAAAAAAATTAGACACATATACTTCAAATTTCATCAATATACATCTTGTACTTTTTGAGTAAAATGCATGTGACATACGAACGAATGGATGGACAGACATGATGAAACTATAAGTATTCCGCTTTTGCCATTTCGTCTACGGATCCCTAAATAGATCACAACATTAACAATCAGTCATATCCGCTTACATATTATATTCTGTACATATACGCTTGAATGTTACTTTATACGTTTAAAAAGAAAACAAAAGCTTGCAAAAATCTTGTGGGTATTTATAATCTTCTTTAGCGTAAATAATCAAATTCTCAGTGAAAAATATCATTCTACAGATATTCGTATGCATAAATATATATAACTTCAGAGCGCATTAACTTTAGATTGCTAATTTCCGAACTAACCAAAAAAAGGACAATTACAAAAATGTATTAAAACACAAAATAAAAGACGCTGTACATTGTCCATGCCCACTGTGTTTTCCGCCTGAGACTTGCGAGTGAAGTTAGCCGACATATATTTCTAGATGTAACCAATTCAGTATAACTCTTATTTAAATACTGATTTCATTGTGTTAAAATTTTGACGAAAGTGCCCAAGCATTTCATAGCATTCTATGATTTCATCCTCATTATCTTTCATGCGAATGAAAAAGTACATTCCTAATATTTAAAAATTAATATGTAATTTTATTCGTCTTATATGCACGCTTAAACCATTCGTCTAATTGCGATGAAAATTCGGTTATTTGTTGTTCGTACACGAAAGAAGGTTTCTGACAAAAAATCACTAGCATTTGCCTCCGATTTTCTCCGTGTGTTTATACTACCAAATGCTCTAAAAAATATTCTAAATTGAATTGTTATCTGATTTTAGTTAACTCTATTGTTTATATTAATATAAAGTTGCCCTATACTCTAATAATATAGTTCATATTTTATTTCAATATTTGAATTTACCCTGAATTTCACATTGAGGAACAATAGCAGAATCAGACGCCAATAAAAAGACCAGCATTGGAATCAACAACAAGATCATGCGACTTAATCAACGAAGGGATTCATTCTGGAGTCAGACAGCTGAAGTTGCTGGCATGCACTCTATCGGCGTCTTACCGAAAAGGCAAAACATCATCTGCCGGGTCAGCTAGTAGACTTTCAATTAGTACTCGATGTAGGATAACGAATCGATATTAGTCGAAATGGGATCCAGTGCGGTGTAATTTAAATGAACGAGTGCGTCCTGGGATCAATACCCGTAGTAGCACGGATGGATTAAGTTTTAAGCAATTCTGTCTTATAATTACTATAAAACTTAATCGTGCGCATTAATCGTCTGATATTTCATCACAGATATGAAGGCCGGCATGCTTTTTAATTCTATTCTATTTTCTTGATAATCCATTATGGAGAAGTATTTTATTATATTGTAATTAGGATGGTAGTATAAAAGTTGAAAGTAAGTGAATTAGATCAACATGTAGCATTCTTAGGGATGTACCAGAGTCCTTGTACAACTTAAATTGTCTACCACAGGGTGCGAATTTCCTTTAGAATAATCAGTCATAATATTTTTAAAAGTAACGTCAAATTATTAATAGAATAGTCATCATTTGCTGTTGATATTGGACAATTACATTTTAGTACTTAACTTTACCACTTTCCCACTCGTTCGGAGGCAGTTATCCCTCAAGGAGAACGAGCAAGAAACTTGAGGGTAGCTAGCTCTTTAACTTTAAATACATTATATTATACAATCAAACATATATAAATTTATAATATAAAAAACAAATCCTCTAGAAATCGAGCTAGTTATGTTCATGAATATTTATCTTCTAAATATTCACAAATTGTATAATACCCTTTTATAACAAGCAATTGCTTAGTAATTATTTTAAATTGGGTCAAGGGTACATTTTGTATATTTTCAGGGACCTTATTGAACGTGCGCACACAGAGCCCTATAAAAGATTTCGTAACTTTACGTAGTCGACTCACATGCAAACACAGCTTATTTTTATTTCTTGTATTGAATTTATGTCTAACATTATTTTTCTCAAAAAGTTCTATAGTCTTTTTTACACGTATTACGTTTTCATATATAAATTGACAAGCCAGAGGTAAAATTCCTGTTCTCTTAAGCTTAGTTCTATGAGATACTCTAGGTCCCAGCCTGTAAATGGCCCGAAGTGCCCATTTTTGGAGCACAAAAATTCTATTAATATCTGCAATATTACTCCACAGCAAATTCCACAAAAAAAAAATACAGCAGTGTGCGCTTAATGCACGTGTGTGCAAGAATAATGTGTTAATATACTTATAAGTGAGATTGTAAGAACAGAAAAACACGTATTTATTATCATTTTATATCGAATTCTTATGCATTCAAAGAATTACTATAATTATAGTAATTCTTTGAATGCTATAATTAGATAAAATGCTATAAATAGATAAAATCATCGCGCGTTAATTAACACGATGATTTTATCTATTTATGTATAAGAATTTTGCGTTATTCCAAAATATTTCATTAAGACAAAAAACTTTTTATCGGTACTTACATGTGAAATACATAATTCTGCTTGTTTTCTATCACAGCTGTAAGTACTTACTTACAGATATTACATATGTAGCTATAATTAATTGCATTTACTTAATGAAGTTTTAAAACGCTATATTCTACTCTGAAACTTCTTACACGAGATCATAAAATATAAGCGACTGGTCTCAGCTATTTGTCTCATTTTAATATGCGAGTTTATTACGCATATTGTTACATTGCCGATCGAACGGTTACATATACTAAATCTACGTGTCATTGCGACTCAATGATGCCATAAAATAAGATGCATATGTACATAAATATGGGAATTTGAATTGATGTAGGCTTATGAAATTTTCAACAGCACTCTCAATGCTTTTGGAACTCAGGCGCCGGCTTAGATTCCCCATGGGCTGCTACATTTAAATTTAGATGCTTCATTTATAAATTTGTTGACTTACTTATCTTAATTAATTAATTATCTAGAAAAAATGAACGTTAAGATACGGTATCATTAATACTTGCGCGAAATTGTGTTAAATATCTGGTTCAAGGGGTATTGATTTACTGACTATCACTGGAGGGTTATAAATATGTGTCTGCGGACGGAAAGGAACTTGAGCAACTTAAATTTGGTCGTACTTCAAACTTCTTTAAATTGGTTATTAAATTTTGCTCATATTTTAAAAGGCAAGGTCATACGAAAAGGATACAATATATAGTTTATTAACTACCAAAATTAAAATTATAATCTACCATCCCAACTGGACCATCGTCAATGAAGCAAATATTAAAGTAGTAGATAGTTTAACAAAAAATTTGTACCACCCCTACCACGTCATTGCCATGCCACGCCAACTACCATGCCATTTTATAACGCAATATAAAGATATTTTATTCAACAATCGGATAGCAACAACACAATTTACTCGAAAATCCACGAAATGGTGCTAGATAAAGGGACGTTTAAATATTTTTACTTTTTTTGAAAATCGGTATAGATAAACTTAAAAAGCTAAGCTACCAAGACAAAACCTTTCATCGTAATCGTTAAAATAATTCTTTTAAATATGCACACACATATATATATAGAATTGCTCACTTAAAATAATAAGGTTATTTATTATTATTATTGTAATGTTAGAATTCTTTGAATAATAATTTTAGGCTGAATATACCGTATCTTTAGTAAATGAAACGTACACGACTTAAGTATTCTTTGAAGTTGAAATAGACTATGAATATCATGTACATGCATACGACGTGGGACATAGTTTAAACTCTCATAACTTCTTTCCCTCTATCGCCGACTAGGAATTAAAATAGTTTCCTACACTTTATTGTTGCAATATCGACGATGATATTGAATTCTTGTTGAGAATTGCGCTCTTGCGTTAAACTTCAAACACATGATGCACGCCTGCAATGCAATTCTGACGTCAGCGAGAGAGAACGATACGTTCAATAAATCTTCTCATACAAATTTAAACCGTAAGCTACGACCGTACGGTTCAAATTACAGGAAGGGAAACAGTTTAATATACATATTCAATTCGGGGTTCGTTTTAATTGGCCGCCCGCCCGTGCATAACCCTTATTGATTCTAGACACTTTCGGATAAACGTCCAGTGCGGTCGACGTTCAATCAATATTTCAGTACATGCATCGGTTTTGGAATTGACACGACAGCTCCAATAACTTAGTTTGTTAATGTTTGTTTGTTTCTTAAATATGCTTGATAACACCGATAATGATCGGTGTCCACGGTGACACTCTTCAGTATTCTAAATCAAAAATTGGTTACCATCCCGTTTGGATCACAAATTCATCTTGGTATTAATGCATGGCGTGGATCTTTATTCGGTGTAAGTAGCTAAAAGAGGAGTTTCGATTTTGATATCAAACAGTCATTTTTATTCTAAGTATATAAGAAAATTAATATTCGATATTTTAGAGTTTACTATTAAGAATCGATTTTCATATAAAGCGCCCGGTGTGGAAATTTTATGAGGAGTGAAAAATACGAGCGTTAACTCGAACACGTTAGGTTTTTAACACTACTACTACTAGTTTTAATTCTACACTCGACGGCAGCGTGGCCGAACGGTCTGAGGTGCTAACTTAAGACAGCTGTATGTTCTGAAGGTGTGCTGGAGGCGTGCGTTCGAATCTCACCACAGCCAAATTTTTTTGTTCATTGACTTTGTAATTTATAATAATTTACAACATTACTATTACCAAAGATAAGAATTATTATTTAATGTAATGGTATCTTATAGTTGGATACCACTTAATTATCTGATAAGAATATACAAAAATTTCTGCATTTACTTACAGAAATTGTTATTTAGGCATGCGATTTCCACAAACTTGTTTGTATTGACTTCTATGTAACACCAAATGATGTTACAAGTTTGCAATATCTTATCGTATCAATAAAAAAACTTATGAGTCGTCACGGGACGCCTAGCAGATATGAAACATCGAGTTTGTACAAGTAATATGCATTAAAGACAAGATTACGACAGGAACTAAATATAGCGTAATGGAATAATTGAAAAATTAAATATGAGGAATTTTTTAAAGAAAATTATGTCTATTTATTTAATAAATATTTATTTTCGTTAATTACAAAAATTCAATATTAATATCAAGTTGCCACAACTTAATTCATTTCATCTTTGACTTCAGTAATAGTTATATTCGATGTTTCCTTTGACTGTATTACTGTGACAATTGCTTGCCACAGTAATAATTAATAACTGATTATTAATAATCAATTACTAATCAAAAATACAATCATACTAATCAAAATGTAGTAATGTGTACGATGTGGCGACGGGTCGCCACGATATACTATAGATATATAAAGTCCACAGGTAGTAGTGTGTACGATGTGGCGACACGTCGCCATGCGCAAGCGACTGTGCGACTCTCTTCTCACTCGGTTCGATGGTGCTGTTTACTACGGTATACATTTTGACTATATATATACCATTGTATAGTGTGGCGACCCGTCGCCACTCAGTGCACTCTACTATAAATAGACTATATATATATATATATCCAAGTATAGCGTAGCGACCCGTCGCCACGGCAAGCGTCACCACGCGAGCAATCCAGTTTATCCTGCGTCTATAGATATTTCACATCAAAAATCAGACCGGGTCTAGGGGGGCAACCCGGAGCACCCGCCCCGGGCGGCAGTTTCAGAAGGCGCTAAAATCATAAAATAATATCGTTAAAAAAAAACTTGAACTTGCTTCACAAAGCGCCTAGTATCTAACGCACGTTGTTTAATCAATTATTTATTTGATTTTAAAACGCTCCGTTGATTTTTGGACACGTCTTAGGGTAAATTCCGAAATGCGCTGCGAGCAGCTGCAGCGCAGCATATTGTTGGCATCATTATGGCGGGATTTTTAATGTCACAAATTTATGAATTTTATAAATAATTAAAGATAAAAATGATTTAAACGATATTTTTAATGGTTTTTCCTTCCAAGAGATATTGCGTTTTTTTTCAAACCTTAGTTAAGAACTTTTTTGGAAAAAAAATAAGGAACTTTCTATATAGTTATGAAAAATGGTAGTTATATAGCATTGGAGCTGCGCCTACTAACTTTGAAAAGTCCAAAAATCAAAAATGATTAGTCTAAAGAGTGTATATAGGAAACGTATCATAACATGAGTTGCTATGGTGTGTTTCCTATATACAATTGTATGAAAAAGTTATTAGGTAATTTATAATATTGAGTGCAAATTTATAAAGTCTTGTTATTATTCTGATCGTAAAAAAGCCAATTTATGAGCTTTTTTTTTAACAATTTATCTGAAAACATTAGGGAGAGGGGACGCCACTATCAAGTTACTGCCCCGGTTCGAAAAAATCGTAGATTCGAGGCTGTCAAAAATATGAATAAAAGTATAAACATTCTTCCACTATTACAAAATATACATTTAATTATTCCCTCGCCTCGTATATTCAAAAACTATCGCACTTAAAGAGTAAACACCAATCGCGTGTCGAAGCTGACACACACAATTTTTATATCGACCAATAATTTCGTTCTAATTATGAGCTGTACTTCGCTTCAAGAGTTTGTTGTATGGTTTTTTTAATGACAGCACTGCTAAGGCTTATATAGTCCCAGAGTATTTTCCATATTAGATTGATAAGCTCGAACCTAAGTCCCCCAAGCCGGTCCGGAAGCTGCTAACGAGCACCGTCACCGTCATCGTGACCACTTCTGGCGCTGACGGCTTAACGCGCCCTACAAGACGACGACATGGTGGTTTAATTTGATATCCGCCTTGGTCAGTATCGAGTCCTGTGCCTTCTGGTTGTGAGGCGGCGTTCTTAACGACTATACCCTCGGCGCTCAGGGGTTTGGCTGTAATTAGTTTGTAAAACAGTAGATTTTTATTTCTACTCTACAAACGGAGCTAGCTGATGAGTATTTTATGCTCTGACAGCGCTGAGGGGATCGGTATAAGAGTGTTGTGTTTTGCTAAAAAATTATTATATGTATGCCGTCAGAAATAAAACAATTGTTTTCTCAAAGTAATATTTATTTTTACTATTTTGACGATTTTACGTCTTTCAACAATATATTTTGGAAACATTATTTATAAAAAAACCCTTGATTTACTATAATACACTGAATGAAAGATCAAAATGTTGACAAAATCGATTTCATAGAAAATTTATTGATTAATAAATTTTGTATAACAGAACTTAAAAAATATAAAACAAGATTAAAGGAAAACCTAATCAACTGCCCTCATTAAAAACCTAAAAAAATATAGTTTTTACTTGTAATATTACACTAGTGACGTCTAATCACATATTAAAGGGCTGATAATTTGTTTAGTTAAAATAACCTGGAAAACGGTTAAATCGACAGGCCAGCTTTAAAAGTTACACAATTTGAAAATTTTTAAATAATCATCAACATACTTCAGCTTTCAGAACTTAAAGTTGAAGTCTGAGTTTGAAGCGTTAGATATAAAAAAACAGCGGTTTGAAATGATTTTTGGCACTGATATCTTTCAAAATAACGATCCGACTTCGATGAAGTTTTTAGCATTAATCGTGATATTTGACGAAAAAACGCGCAAAAATACATATGTATACATAAATGCATAGAGCTGAAAATAGCATACATAAATAACTAGTCTCAAAATACCTCTATCAATGAAAAGACGGTTTTCGTAAAGCATTAGCATGACCAACCATTCGAAATAGAGAATCCATTATTATGGTTTATTAAACAGCATCAAACAAATCGTCGATGATCTCCCGTTGTTTGCTTACAAAACTCCATCATTTGTATTCTCTTCAGGTACTTCAGCTGCGAAAACGCGAAAACACTTTGATAAGTAAAGGAGTTTTACGAGCAATAACAAAATGTCGGGAAAGTTTTTAATCCCAAACTCCAAAATACGAAAGTGGCATCACCACGACAGCGCAATGGATTTAACGGACCCGCGATGATTTCAAACGAGCTATCTAACAATGTCCCACGACGTGGGATGAACGAGAGGAAAGAAAACCATTTTCACTTTAATTTTTTTGAGATTTTATTCTACCACTTAGTCGGTTTGATTAATACATGTACACATACCAATATCAAATTATACCTTTCCAGTACAAAGAAACTCTGGTCTAAGCCGCTGACAGAAAACAGATAGACGGATGTACGGACATCGTGAAATTATAAAGATTCCTTGTTGTCTACGGAATCCTAAAAACCGTCGGATAAAATAAATGTTTTAATATATGAATATTAACTAAATACGCGGTATAGATACCATTACTTTTATATCAAATCTAATAACTGAATGATATTGTCAGAGATCTAATCGTGCGTTTCGGAACGTAGCACAGACCTAGCGCCCCCTACCGGAGGCGACACACTTTTTTACACTTCCTGTTTTTGCCATGTAATTACGCTCTTTGTTGTAATCATAAATACGGTAATAAAACACAATAAGTCATACCAGTATTTGTATTCTTGACCTACACAACAGTGGCGACGAGTTAGTGACTGAATCTACGCGATGCGGAAGAAAAGTGCACTTATGTGTAAACGTGATTAACTAACCTCAAACTATTAGTGAAAAGTTGGTGTTCCAAGTGACTCCTCTTACCTTTTCCTATCTATCCAGGGTTCCAAACCTGTGTTGATAACCCGCTACACAAATCCCTTTTCCCTTATACATAAATACCATAAGTTATGATCCATAATGGAGCTGCAATTAGGCCAAGTTTTGTCACAAATGATGGAAACTGAAGGGTATGCAATTACAACAAGCTCAGTTACAACAAGCATTACAAAGCAGTGATAAAACTGTTGGCGGTATCACGTTACAACCGTATGATGAGCAGAATGAATCGTTTTCATCCTATTTACAAAGACTCCAAAATTACATAACCTTAAAAGGAGTAACAAATGCTACAGTAAAAGTACAAATATTCCTCAACTGCATTGGTCCTAAGCACTACCAAATAATAAAGAATATTACTGCACCAGAGGCCCCGAGAAAAAGTCAATTGATGTACTTATTAAATTGTTACAAAACCACATCGCACCAGAACCGGTGAAGTTGCCTTGCAGCACAAATTCTGCCTGAGGCAGCAACAAGAGGGCGAAAGTATAGCTAATTATGTAGCTGGTTTGAAAGGAATAGGTGGTAAATGTAATTTTATTTGTAATAACTGCCAACAAAGTACCTTTGAGACACATCTTCGTGTACAATTCATAAGAGGACTAGCAAATGCTGAGATAAAAGAGAGGTTATTACAAGAATCTTCTTCAACAAAATTTGATGATCTAATTAAAATAGCACTGGCAATAGAAACTGCAAAATCAGAAAGTAAAGAAATGGGAACCGAGGTACAATCAAACATCAATAAAATATCAACATACTCAAGAACAAAACAATTTTAATAAACCAAACATACATAAAGGACCAACCTACAATACAAAGAATACATATAAAAACAAAGGAAGAAAGAGAAATAAAATGTTTTCGCTGTGGAAAAGAAAATCATACCACGGTACAGTGCAAACTAAAGAATAAACTGTACTGTAAAACTGTAATACAAAGGACATATCCAATCTGTATGCTTCAAAGACCAGAGACAGCTAGATCTAGTATACGAGCTACCGCATGGCAA